TTTGAATTAGCCGTTTGCTTTCCTACGAGATACTAATTTTTGTATACTGATGAATTATTTTTCATTATTATTGCGTAGATTTTCTGTAGTGAAGTTCTGCTAATTTTTTTTTTCGTAGCATGTAATCTTTTTTTTATTAAATCAATTCGGTACTATTTTAATAAAAAGTTAAAATAAGTTAAAAATTTAAAATAACTTAACTTATTAAAAGTTAATATATAAGTTACTTTGTATTTAATTATTTTCTAATTCACCACATAATTAAAGTACAAATAAATTATTTTCCTATTTAATGATTTAATTTTTACATAATTTATTAAAATAACCATTTATTATTAAATAATATGTATATATAACAATTAGCCTTGACTTTGTTTACAGATTTTAAGATGTTTATTAACAAAAAAATTATGTTAAAAATTTTATTTATACTTTGGACTTAAAAGTATTGCCATCATAGATAATTAAATTTTTTAAATCTATTACAAGGTAACTGAACTATTTAATTTAAATTTAACTAAAATACCTTCTCAGCTTCGCACCGAAGCCAAAAAAATACAAGAAAATAAAGTTTATCATATGTTAGTTTAATATTTATAGCAGTTTTTAAAATATAAAAATCGTTAATCATTTAAGAAGAGCATATTGTACGGGATTTTATTAGTCGCTGACTAAGACCTTTTGTTGTTTTAAATGTTCGTTTTTTACTATTTTATTAAGCAACAAAATGCTGTATAAACACGTATTTGTTTGTTCGTGTTTATTCGCTCTGATTTACATAAAGTGCTAATTGTCATTAAAAAAACTGCAATGGATATTGAAAGGTTAACTGGGTGTATGTAAATATCTACTCGAGTCGTGTATTAAAGCTGTTAATTATCCTATACAACAGTGGCGTGGGGTTAATTAAACGTCGTGATGGCTGAATCTCATAATTATTTTGGGGATCGTTTGTGTGTGTAGTCATGTGACTACCCACGTCGGTATCGATGCCCTGAACATTTGGACATGCTTTATTCCAAACATACAACGCAATCGCACATAAATGTGTGTTTCACCGATGGTACTTAAGGGATTTATAGTCGTGGTGTACTTTTTACACTTTGTGGTTAACACATTGTAATTACAGCATATGTCCTGTCTTAGGGACGCTAAGCGTATGTGTGTCGCTCGATTGATAGAGTGTATTGTTTTGACGCCGTTGATAATTAACTCGGAGTACCTTGTTACTGTTCCATACTGCGCATTTGAGCTGTAGAGTACAAACTATGTACTTGCAGTGTTTACGTGTATTACACACCGCGTTACACGGCACGAGCGGCGGTCATCCGTCGCGGCACCGGCCAATCGACCTGTCTTTCACGATAATATCTCTGCCGTCTCCCGTATGGTCGAGTTAAAGTTTGGCTGTACGAGACACCCAAGAGGACAGAAAATCGATTTGCGTGTGCGTGTGGCAAGCCGCCAGTAGGTCGTCGTTGTTGACGCTACGGGGGTGGTCAAGGAAAAAGCAATGGGACGAGCGTGTAACACCGTTTTTCGCATTGTATACATTTCCTCGTGCAAACAAAAAGTTTAAACGGCTTTTTTCGCTTCTAAAGAGACCCGCCGCACCACTTGGTTTACCTATAAACCCAGACGGTCTGATGGTTTAGTCGTCCGCAATATTGTAATTTGCTTCGTGGTCAATATTTTTAAATAGAATAATTTTTTTTGTTCTTTTCAAGACCCAGTAATTATTATTCCTAATACAGAATATCAATGTATAATATTACTTTTGCACGTTGTTGAACAATAACAGGTTCAATAGAATGTGCAATTTCTGCATTTTTAATAGTCTCAACTGCTCAATTAAAAACAAAGTATATTTAGATTTTCTTTGCTTTTTTTTTCAATCGAATTTAATTAGTTGTTAAAATACGACTGTTGTGGTGGTTCTTAGTGGAATTTCAAAGTAATATCCATTGTTCATTAATTTCACTGTTCGAAAAGGAATTTGAATATCTTAACTTTTCTAAACCAATTTTTCGCGCTGATTTCAATCTGCAACTTGATTTTTTCTATCGCTTCTAGTTTTTTTTAGATAACTACTAATTAGAAACAAACGAGAAATAAAAATACAAATTTTCTCAAATTATCATTGACTTTGAATTTCAGTATGTTGCCAATAGTCTGTACAACATTTCTATCCAAAGTTCATGTTTAACCTAATTTTTAATCTTTAAAGTTTTTTACTCGTTGGTAAATATCTCAAAAACTAGAAGCGATAGAAAAAATTCAATTTCATGTTTGAAATCAACGCGAAAAATTGTTTTAGAAAACTATATTTTCGTTTGATTATATCAAGTATCATTTAGTTGACCATTGTTTTTTATGTACGCTGTTATTTAATACTGTTATGATATTAAACTGACTGTACTAATCACTTTTATAATGATTGCTCATTGTTTTATCTAATATTTACTGTTCTTAAGATGTCTTTTTTGTTTCATACTGAAAATTTCAGTTTAATCTATTCTTGTTATAGAAAGATAAAGAGATTTCCATTTTAAGTTATGCAATGATTTAATTAAATATCCATTGCTTTTTACGTATGAATACGATGAATAATTATTTTTAAGTTTATTGATTTGTTTATACTCAGGAACATAAAAAACAAGATTATAAAAGATTTCCCATCAATAAAACGTTTTTTGACTAAGTCACAATTAATATGGTTCATTCAAAAATACATCATCGGTGTGTATTGACAGTGGTACTATTGTTCTTTAAGTGTAGGTTTATCCTAAAAGGGTTAATGGCGATGATTTTCAGCCTAATAGTTTCTGTCAAGTTCAAACATTCACCAAAATGTGTCAGGTTATGTTTTAGTATTGTTTGAAGAACTTGATGGAATATACATAGTTAGGATCATCATCAAATTCTAGTACGTAAAATGTCACACGATTTTTTTAATATGTTAATGAACATGTTAATGAACAAAAGAAAGAAATCTTCAGCTTAGAGAAAGAAAATAGTATCTTCTAAATTTTTTTTTTTCAAGAACTGACGTTTTAGTTTTTTAATCTCCTACCAATATAATTATGTCAACGGAAAAATATTAAAAATAGTATTTTTTTAGTTAAAATGTTGACTCTTGAGTTCTTATTACGAGGTATTGAACTCAGCTAATTATTGTACTATGAATACGGTGTTTTTTTATTTTAATAAAATATAATTTCGTTAAATAAAAATTATTTGATTGAAATTTTTTAATATTGTGGAAAGTAGTTTTTTTGTTTCCTGACAGTTTTATTTACTGTAATTAACATTGACATCGTTTTATCTGATTATTTTGAATAGTATTTCATATTAATTAATTCCGAATTCGCCAGTTAATTGCTGTTGATTTGCTTTTGAAATTTTTGAACTGTCTTGCTTTTTTTGCAATACTTAGACTTTGTAAATGTTATAACCACTCTGGTGTTATTAAGCCGTTAATACCTTTAATGCAAGTAGTGTTTTAAATAACAATTATGACTAAGATGCTTTTCAAAGCCGCCGAACACAGTAATTGAAATATTTAGCTACACACTCTTGACTGAGTAAGTAACATGACTTACATCAATCATTCAAACATATTTAATATAAAATTTTGAAGACTTATTTTATACTCCGACGGTTTTGCGGTCTACCGGTACAAAGAAGAGATTTATAGCAGTTGGTCTCAGTTTTCCAATCTCTTTACTTACAATAAAAAAAAAATAAGTGTTTTAATATTGTGTTCAAACAATATCATTCCTATAGTTATTTTAATGCTTCGATAGTAGTTACTCATTAAGCGCAAATATAATTTACACGAATTTTAAATTGATTTATTGTGTAAATATTTTTTCCTTTAATTTAGGTCAAAGTTATGAATTCTGTTATAATCCCAATCGAATTAGTAAATTACGAGGAATACATTATTTCGTTACTATGTCTCGCCGTTGTTAGAACATACACATTGTGTGTATGTTTTATTGTTCTAGGAAATGGATTTAACGAGGCGCCTATAGTATCTGAGAAAAGGTCATTCAGCTGCTAGCAATGGTAATAATACCGTTTACAGCTCTGACCATAGTTTTTTTTTTGTACTGTCTCTATTCTGAGCATTTAATCTTATGGTCTACCACAAACACTACGTCAAATATTCAATAATTCAAAGTGGCTTTTAACTTTTAATATAGTAGGTGATTGAGTGTAAGAAACAACTATAATTGCAAAACGTATTTACATTTTATATAAACTTAGACAATTGTTTTCGTCACGGAAAAACAATGTCGAAAAAACAGATAAAAATCAAAACAAACTAGTATGAATAAATTGAGGCAACTAACGTTTGTTTCATTTTTTTTTTTTTTTGTGTGATAAATTTAGCAGTATTCAATTGTATTTTCATTTCGCGTCATTGCTGTTAAGAAAATAAAATAATTTTTGTTAATAAAAAACCCATTTGAATTTCTACAAGTCGTTTTACAGTTTTTTGAATTATATTTATTTATAATTTAGTTTGTTGACTTATGTATTTTTTTTATTGATATTTTTACTGCGGGCATATTATCACAGTGCAATGCGAAGGGTAAGTAATGTTAACTGAATAAAATTGTAAACTCATGTTGAGATGTTGATGAGATGAGTGTTATTAGCATATAATCAATAATTTACATCGTTTAAAAATGTATTTGCATATTTTACCAAAAAAAAAAAATACTCAGATCATTAGTTGATTTTATGATGTCATAATTTTTTATAAAAATTAATAATTTAAAAGAAACGAGAATTTTATTTTATTAGCAAAAGTTTTGAAAAACTTTCACCCTTCTAAAAAGTAATTTATAGGGTTACTGGCTTTTATTTAAAACTTTTTTCATACTTATTTTTACCTCAAATTTGAGACTTCTCATGTCATTTATATAAACATTGAAGTATGTCAAATAACAATTTATTTACCTGTTAGTACAATGTTTTTTTAATTACAGGCTGTTGTAAAACCTCCTTTGTCGTCAGCTCTTCCACAACAACCAGCGGCTCCTCGTCCATCTTATGCACCACTCACTGCTCTGTCTAGCATGCAGCCTCCTGGTACACCCGGTGGTAGTGAACTCCATCCTCAGCAAAGACGCCATCATCATCATCCTCATCATGGCGTGCCATACGGTAGTGCCTTTTCAGCACCCCCGCCACCACCTTCGGCCCATCAACCGAACCAGACCAACGGATCCTCTTCAGATACTTCTGACAAACATGAACCTGGACCACCACTGCCACCTCCACCTCCAATTCCTTATGCCCATGGTAAGTTTCGGTTTATGACTAAACACTTAAATTTATGAGAGTTATTATGTTTAGTTAAATTATCGAGTTTATAATGGTGCTGATTTCCAGTTGATGTATTATTTATTCACTGTTAGGTAGTGATTTATATGCAAACAAATCAAACGATTAAATTCAGAAGTGCGTTATTAATAATTCATTTAAAATGCCTTTTGATTTGTTTATTGTTCGATTTTTTTTTCGTATTTTTTATTGTACAGGTATTAGAGCGGTTTATTGGATTTCATCTCCTTTTAGAGAAAATCCATTAGTTCAATTATTACGCCAATTTATGAGTTCTAAAAAAAAGTTTATTTTATGATTTGTAATAATTATAATCTCGTCGAGAAAACACAGAAACACGTTAATCTACCTGTAAAAATAATTTTAATTCATGGAGGTAGTGCTTTTTAGTTATTAACTTTCGTACGAACTTTTATCCTGTCGAAATAATTAAGTTATTACCGTTGACGAGATTGTTTAGCGGTTGGAGTACTTTATGTTAACGGTAATCCAACGCCAGTCTTGTAAATTGTGTAAATGATGATTGAAAACTACTTTTTTATCTTATAAAACTTTTCTGGGAGTCTTTGTAAATAATATTAACATTATTCGATGAATATTAATGTTGTCGTTCAATCGCGTTTCTTGTTTTGTTAATAATGAAATACTGCGTTGATTAAAAAACAGTGTTAATACCGTCGAGGCAATTCGCAAACTATAAACACGTCCAGAGCTTCTAATAATCGTTTAGAAAACGGAAAAAGGGGATAATTTTTTATTAAAAAAGTTGGAAACGCAACCCTAAGTACGTGTAAAGTCGATAAATAGTTAAATAGAAATGCTCTTTTAAATAATTGAGAAATACTGTTTTTCGTTTTGTACGGTAATTGGTTTGCAAGTTGTAATGTTTTTCGACTATTTAGGCGTTTCGAAAAGGCGTATGTGTTTTCACGGCGTAAACAACTCGGCTGGGTATAATTCACATTGCATTTATCGGCAGACGTCATGTTGCCTTTTGGAATCATTTGTACGACATGTGTTGCGGGCACCGCGTTAATTATGTCGGGCGTTGGGCATTTATCGTGATTCTTGTAATTAACCCCGTCGATATTATTATTATTATTATTATTATTATTTTTTTGTATGTACGACGGTCGACTAACGGTGTAATTGTCGTCGAGGCTGTGGAACGTTATCAGACTCGTATACGCCGGAGAAAGTCGGTATTATTACGCCGTTATTAGTGTTTGGAGCTCGTCTCATTTTTGGTAACCACTGAACTGAACGATCGGAGCACATCATATCGTTGGGAACGCATTAATCAAAACGTCGTTCGCCCCCTCTTTTTATAAGCCGAAGAAATGAGCTCGCCAGAATAACTTTGTTACGTCGTCGAGCCAAAAACGCTCTTGAGCGGCGTGTCTCGCGCGCTACCGGAAAATCCACGAAAATCGATCTCGACTCGTTGGCAAGTCTTCTCATTCGGTCGGACGTACGTAAACGCATCGATTCACACCTGTGGGGTGGACAACTTTGTGTAAGTTATGAGTACATGCAGAACGCTTGCCGCCAAATTACTACACTGCTCGTTGTAAAATAAACCATAAACTTGCACACTGATATTCGGCCGCCGTAGATTTTGCATGGCATTTGAATTTGTTTTCAGATCCGATCCAATACTTTTTAGGTGTCGGTGTAGTCAGATATAGTCGAAAACATTTATGTGTTTGCCATAAAAGCATTGAATGTTCCTTTAAAAGGTCGTAACAAATTAAATAACTTCTTCAATTCAAAGTCGAAAACTTCTTATTTTCTGTCAAACTTAGAAATCCTTTTAAAGCCATTAATTTATCACATTTATTAGCACTGTACTTTTAACTTTTGTAAAAAAAAAAAAACATTGGAATAGATTTATACTTTCCTCGACCATTCCGCAGTTGCAGTGTATTGACGTGTGCGCTATAATCTGAAGAATAAAGGAAAACATCATTTCTTGAATTCAAAATTAATAAGATTGCTGTTTGAGCAGTGAATCATCTGGGAAATCGTACAAGATGAGCTATTATACGTAAAACAATAATTGTGTACACATAAACTTAAAATTGTGTACTCAACTTGGCTAAGATTTACGCCAAAAGATAAAAATGCTTATTGCCACTATTTGTTTTTCATAATTTATTTCTTATAATATTTAAAACTCAAATATTTTTCTCTCCCAGAATGTTTCAATTGTATGAGCTGTTTCCTATTGCGCTAATTATCTAAAAAAAATAATTGCAAATAACAATTAGCGATTTTATTTGATACATTCGAAAGAGCTGTTTACGTTAAACTTCTACCGAAGATACGTAACTTAGAAAAAAAATGGCATCTAAAACGTAATTGCACAAACACAAGTAGGAATTAAGTAAAATTTAAAAACTTTTCTTAATTTAAGTAATTTTAGGAATCAAAATAAATTCATTACGTTTGGTCAAGTATGAAATTTCAATACTCCCTGAAATTTGTGTCAATGAAGACTAAATTTTTCATTGTATTCAACCTAATTTAAACAAACAGAAATAGTCAATCGCGTTTAATTTAGTTAACATTTTATGTTAAAGTCTTCGGAAAATAATAAATACCATAAAATTGGTTGAATGTATTATTTGTACAGAGCATTTTTTATTACAAAATATATATAAATAAAAGGTTATGCCATTTGTTGCTGGTGGGTTTTCTATTATCTCGGTTTGGGCGTTGATTTTTTTTATGTATACAATGGTATATATTTTGTGTTTTAAAAAAAAAAAAAAAAACGGTTTCGTACTTAAACCGTTATCGTCACCTCTTCTGTGATTGTTCCGGTTGGGAATTGCGGTTCAACAGTCTCTCGCGTACAGTGTGCTGTGTAACTGTTTTTTCGCTGTTTCACGGTAGGAAAACGTAGTAATTTATTTAACTTGCGGCAGATAGGGTTAAATGGGTAGATGAAGAAAACGTGAAAAAGGTTCTAAAGACTAATAGCTGCGTGGAGTTAAATTAAACGTACGTGTTCAGCTCATATCTTACGGTTACTTAGATGAAAATTCAATAGTCTATTAGTGGATAATGCGTTCAATCAACCGGATAATTGTATCCTTCGATTTAATAAGGTCCAACCGATTAGTTCGTTTTATACTTTTTATTGGTCACTCGTTGTGTCGAGTGTTTGGTCAATTGTTTTTCTTACGGCATCAAAATTTTCATTAGACACACACTTGAAGTTTTACACATATATCAAACGATATTTTTTATTCGATAATAGCTGACCCGGCGTAAATATGAAAATTGTTTGTGTCTTAGGGTTGTTAATTATTATCGTATTGATTTGAAACGTTTTGGTTTTATTATAAAGAAAAAGACATGTTAACTGTTAAAATTGTGGTTGTCAAGATTTCGTTTAATAGAAATGTAAACATTTGTCTTTGAACTGTTTTATTATTTATAAATTCAAGTAATAGTTATTAAATCGTTGGGTGGAACACAATTATTTTGACGCTGCGAGAAGAGTGAATAATTATGTACCCCATATTTTATAAATCACAATTTAAAACAAATCAATACCTAGTTATAAAATGTACAGTACTTTTATGCGTGTACACTAACTATAACAACTCGCTGACGTAAAATCTTTAGATTTTGCTAGTTGTTTAGTGTGTAGTGTAGTTATGATGCTTCATTTGTTAAACAAGTATATTAGGTTACACTTTATAGTACTCTATATAATTTATTAGACAGTTTTAATAATTCACTGCGCTAATTATCTAAATTAATTCTGAAGTATGATTAACGAATGGGACGACTAAAGTTTGCGTTGGACTAAACGGATTCAATTTATTATACTACTTATTATTTTTATCGTATAAACTGAGGGTGTAAAAGTTTTAATAAACAAAATGTTTTATACATTTGAACACTACAGCTAAATAGGTTCTGAATTATTACTATTATTCTCTTCTTCGCGTTTTATGTTTGTGTTTGAATTTATTATATTCTCATTCTGTTTCATATACCCTATTAAATTATTAATCAGTTTTTTTTTATCTCTGTCCTAAATTTAAATTGAAAATAAAAAAGCATGTTTTGTACACGGTACTTTATTTTAACATTATATTTTTATTCAATTAAACACCAAATTTATTTTTGCTCAACATAATTGTTTATAAGTTTAATGATTTGAATGCCAATTCCTTGCTAAATTAATGAGTTTATTGTATACCAATATTGAACGTTGTATTTAATAAATAAAATCTAAGATTGTTAAATAATGTGACACACGTTTAAATCATATTTTCCCGTAAAATTTATATCTCAATTCGGAGAATTGAATAAAAATTATGAGTGCAAATGACTTCTACAACTCTATTCATTTTGCAAAATGAAAATTCAAGAATTATTTAAATTGTTTGCGGGTTAAACTTTTTAAACAGAATTTAAATGATAAAAGTAAAATTCTTGTTGTAGTATGGACGAAAAACTTTTCTCATTATTGTTACTGGCCTAAGTTTGGTAATGTAAAATTATATTGGCAGAAATATAAAAAAACATGTTCACTAATAAATGTTGATTTATGGTAAAATTTAACAGTTTTATTTATTTTATAATTTTTACATGCCAGTTCACGGAATATAAGTTCATTTTTTTAGTTACGCTATTGTATTACGGAATCATCGCCATGTAGATTTAGTACTTGGATTATTTGTTATTTATCACATATGCTATATTTTCCCTGTGTTACACACCACCACCTTCTTTTCTAATCGAATACCAGATGTTTATTGTTCTTCGTTTTTTTCCGTATGTTGGGTTCATTTCTTTTTTCTTATAAGCAAATAGTGCCTATTTATTTGTTACCATAGTTGTGCACATTTTATGCTTTGATTAATATTCCTTATATATAAAAAAAGAAATTGAAAGAGTAATTCTAAAAAGTTAAAACTTCGACTTTAGTATCAAGG